TATTAACAGAACTGCTAAACTATGAGAGAGAGTGGACACAGCTTACTGTCCGGATTAACTGAGGTACTAGGCAGCGTCTCGGAATCAGAAGAAGTCCCATCGGGTTGGTGTAAGTCACTGATTATCCCCATATACAAGAAGGGAGACAAGTCTTCCTGTGATAATCACAGAGGGATTAGCTTGACTAATATAGTATCTAAAGTCTTAGGCTCAATAATCATGCGTAGACTAAGTCGTGCTCGGGAGGCACAAACACGAGAGAGCCAGGCAGGCTTTAGACCAGGAAGAGGGTGTATTGATCATATCTTCACCCTCCGACAGATTCTAGAACATACGCATTCCTACCGGCGTCCAACAGTCATTATATTTCTTGACCTAAAGGCAGCATTCGACTCTGTCGATCGAGAAGTTCTCTGGAGATGCTTGGCTGTAAAGGGAATTCCAAGAAAATATATTGCACTGATTAAGGCCATCACTCTAATCGTACTCATACAGCCAGGTGAGGGCTTACGGCGAGCTGTCATCTGAACTGGTGACGACCAGTGGTGTCCGTCAAGGATGCCCATTATCCCCTTTTCTATTCAACTTCATCATAGATGTGTTAATGGACTTAATCCTAGGTGACTTCAGCGACTCAGGGATCGACTTGCTACCAATGAATAATCTCGTTGACTTGGAATATGCAGACGATATAGTCCTTCTAGGCGAAGACGCTGACGAAATGCAGAGTCTTCTAAACACCATGAGCCGCAATCTACGAATGTTTGGCATGCGAGCGATTCGCTCCCGCCAAATGCAAGATGATGTTACAGGACTGGACTACATCGACGCCTAGTTTAAAAATAGGGAGCGAAGTGGTAGAGCACGTTGTCCGCTTCACTTATTTGGGAAGTACCATCAGCCCCAACGGGTTGATCTCTGACGAAATCTCGGCACGAATACAGGGGGCTCGTTTCGCATTTGCCAGTTTACGCCGACTTTGGCATAGACGAGATGTTCGACTATCGACCAAAGGGCGGGTGTACTGCTCATCAGTCCGCTCCGTCCTCCTTTATGGCTGTGAGTGGGACCTGGCCACTGAGAGTGGAAGACATGAAAAGGCTAACTGTCTTTGATCATAGGTGCCTGCGTTCTATTTCCCGTGTTGAGTGGCATAATAAGGTGAGCAACATTGAGGTTAGGCGTAGAGTTCTAGGTAAACAGGGGAAATCAATCGACGAAGTCGTGAAGCTACAAAGACTGAGATGGTTAGGACATGTGTTACGTATGCATAGTCATCGCCCCCCTCGACGAGCAATGTTAGCGGATATAGGGTCAGGCTGGAAGAAAGCTAGCGGCGGTCAAACAAAAACTTGGCTTCACCAGTCAATGAAATCCACAACAGTTAGTCTAAGCCACGTAGAAAGGTGTAGACTTCCAGGCTGGGGTCCTCGGGACGGTAAAAATCTATGGTTGGAAACAATTGGTGACATGGCTCAAAATCGTTCTTAGTGGCGCAGATGCATCCACTCCCTGTGACTTATGATCTCCAATGAAACTATTTTGTATTTCTTTATTACTCCTTTGTCTCACACCTCTGCTCACTGTTTCTATTATGCTTTTCTTGTACTTTCTTCTCTTGCTTCGCGTGCTACACGGAATGTGGCGACTTGAACTTCCGCACATTTGTGCAAAGTTCTATGTCGAAAACAGACAGATGAGAGGATAATCTTCTTTTCGCGGCCTTTGCGACGTTTCATGATAGCGCGCGTCCACTAGACCACCAATTAGGCCACGAGTTCCACCACTTCTTGAGAGACAGGTAGCAGTCATTACTTAATCCGCTTTGAACTGTTGACATGTGGGTTCCTAGTGCAGACGCTTCAAAGATGCTTGAGGACCAGCTTGGAGTAATTAGGTGGATGGTGACTAACAGTAGTAGTGGAAACCACAAGGATGATCATTTCGTCCTGTTTGTGACTCATCAACTGGTATATGTACCTGCATTCCATCTTGTAAGCGTGTAATGGTTAGTCCACCAGCCGCCGCCCCCCCTCCGCCGCACTGAGACTCAAACCCAGTACCCATCGTTAAAAAAAGAACACTAAGCGTTATCTATCGCACCACTTAGGACACTTCAAATTGAAGTATGCACTGAAGATGTCGCCTAGTAGGACGATGAAAGCCTCGCAAACCAACTATCCAGCTCAGAGAAAGAAAACAACCACATCAGAAACACATAAGTCAGGCTTAAATTGTTTTATTGCTATAGCTTCAGCAAACCTGAGAAGACTTGAGGTACTTTATCTGTTAATTATTTTGAATGATTCCAGTACATCTACCCGGTGTCCTATGTCAATCAGGTGTTTGGCGATTGAAGAGCTTAAACAATTCAGTCATTTTAACCGGAGGCTCCTTGGTACATGTTCGCAGAATCTGACGAAGGCCCTCCTCTCTGTTCTTTCAATGTAACTGCTCCCTTGGATACATGTGAATTGGTACACATAGTTGGAAGTAACATGTGAGGGGTACTTCTCAATCTTTGCCTGCACCAATGAGGAGGTTGGTCGGGGTAGAGTCTGTCTGTCTGTTTGGATTCAACATAGAACTTGGCACCGAAGTGCAACAGTTCAACTTGCCACCTTCCAAATAGCACACACAAAGGCAGACAAGAAGATGAGTGAAGAGAATCAATACAGTCTGACAAGTATAAGAGTGAAACAGAATGGGTAATGGTAGAAAGGAATATGAAATATTACAGAGACTGAATACATCTGTGCTGGCCATTGACAACGATTTTGAGCCATTTCACCTATTTTCTCCAGTCATTGATTGATTCCTAGAGTCAGTCCCGAGGGCCCCAACCCGGAAGTCTGCATCTCCCTCCCTACCTGACTCAGTTTAACTGTCAAGGATTTCATGGATTGATGAGGCCATGTTTTGTTTGGCCACCCGCCACTTACTCTTTTCCAACCTGCACCACCTATATCAGCTAGTAATCCCCGCCCGTCAGGGAGGGGGAGGCGATGGTTAGGCCTGTGCACCACCTGACCTAGCCATCTCAACCTATGTAACTTTATAACCTCGTCGATTGATTTTCCCCCCTCCGCCCAACACTCTACACCTAACGTCAACACTACTTACCTTGTTAAACCACCTAACGTGAGACAGAGATCGCAGACATCTATGATCGAAAGCAGTCAACCTTTTCATGTCTTCAACAACTCGTATTGGCCATGTTTCAGAGCCATAGAGAAGGACGGAGCGAACTGCAGCTGAGCATCACACACGTCCCTTGGTTGATAGACGGATGTCACACCTACGCCAGAGATGGTGTAAATCAGCGAAAGCAGCTCGAGCTTTTGGATCCGTACCTGAGATTTCGTCGCCAATCAGTCTGTTGGTGCTGGCTGATACAACTTCCCAAATAGGTGAAGTGATCAACATGTTCTATCACTTCACTCCCTATCACTAAGCTAGGAGTTGACGTAGTCCAGTCCTGTAGCAGCATCTTACATTTTGCAGGGGCGAATCGCACGCCAAACATTCGAAGATTTCTGCTCAAGGTGTTCAGAAGACTCTGCTGGATTTCGGGGTAGAGAAACTAATTATGGTGCAGGGTACGTCCTAGAAAGGGTTGCGCTTAGTCTTTTATTTACCATTCTCATAATGTCGTCGCCCTTGTAGTCGAGTTTGATGAAAATAGGCTTCTTACTCACTGTAAGTGTATCAAGCTTTTTGAGTTCATTCTCGCCATATTTGTTAATGAAATTTTCTGGGTAACCGTTTTCTTTCAAGCATTTTCCAAGAAGCATTAGTTTAGTGTCTAGTTTGTTTAGTGAACATATTCTCTTCGCTCTAGAGAAAAGCGTTTTCACTAGCGTTCGTTTATATCTCGCTGGGCAGAAGCTGTTGAAATTCAAATAAAGACCACTCCGTGTGTCTTTACAGATCTTTCGAGTATCCCGTAGTATTTTCTGTCCAACTTGACGTAGAAAAAATGGAATTTTTCATCGTCTTCATGCTCCATCGTGAAAATCATGCTTTTGTGTTCATTGTTGAAAGACAATGAATGTGTCATCAACGTATCTATAGTAGGCTGCTGTTTCGTCGATCGCGCACTTGAGCTTTGTCTGCCCCCAGATAGGCCATGAAAATATCAGCTAATATCGGATCCAGTGGACTCCCCATTGCCACACCATCAATTTGGCGATAGATTTTGCTGTCAAACTGGAATTGTATATTATTAGTACATAACACGAGAAGTTGCTTAAATTTCACTTTTGGTAGAGGAAGAAGATCAGAGTGTTGACAGATGATGTCCAATGTCTCGCGCAGAGAAATTTGTGTGGATAGAGAAGTCACATCGAAGGAAACCATGATTTTGTCATGTCATGCGCCAATGTTTCTTCTTTCTTTGTTCAAATTTATAAAAGGGAATCATTGAATGAAAAATGAGTCAATCAGTCAACCAGTCATTCTCTGAATCATGTACGTTTCATCATTATCCTACCCAGACAACATTTTCAGTGCACACCTCTTGTAAGACTTCAATCATTTCTTTTTTTTCCCTTCACGTTCCCCCAGTGGAACATAGGGCTTCAAGCTAGTGGCTTGAGGTTTCTGTAGCAGTGTTTATTTTACAGGATGGGGTTGCTAGCCAGCCTCATGCCCAACCTTTCCTCTTTACCAGAATTATTTCTGGCTAAGCGAGGTAAAGGAGTGTGTCGGTGGCCGGGGATCGAACCCCGGACAATATGCATGGTCGGTGAGCGTCCTAACCGCTATACCACCGACGCATGATTTCACATAATAATAAATTTAAAGTGTAAAAAGATGTTGTCCAGATTGGAGATGAGAGGCAAACCAATTCAGGGAAAACAAACGACCACACACACACACACACACACACACAGACATACCAAAAATATATATATCCATTTTTCAGGAGAATGATCTATACACAAATTAATTAATTAATTATTAAATGAATAAATGAATAAAATAATTAATTAAATTACCTGGAGGAGTTTCTTCTAGTCTTGTATGCTTAGGTGTTGGTAATAGCGCTGATAATTCCTGAGCTAATAATCAAAAATAATGAAAGGAGAAGATAAACGGGGTTTGGGTGGATAGGAGGAAACAATGATTAATGCATTAAAAGCAAGTACAGTAATAAGAGGGTAGTAACCTCCCCCCACACACACATATACAGAAAGAATGGATACCCCTAAACGCTACACCACAAAAATCTATGAGGCCTATAATTCAATAGAGACTCATCGCGAGAGATACTAAGAAACCGTTTGTGTCCGATTCATCATTGAAGAAAGCCTTCCTCGCAACTTACTTTCTCTACAAATCCAATGATTCACATAAACGTGAAAGATAAACTACCATTGTTGGTGGCATTAATGTGTCTCTATGATTTTGTCTGTATCTGTGGAGCTGCTAGGTAGTGTCAAGCTATGCTCACTGCTGACTGTCCAAACCTTGAGGACGGATTTTGGAACATCTAGACGATTCTAGATACTGAATGATCTAAGGAACCTATTTCAGAGTCATCTAGACAGTAGGCGGATATTTCAACAAAGGAGTGCACGAATCAAAATCCTTCATACCGCGATCCATACGTAAAATCCTAAACTCCTCTGATAACATTTGTATATCATCTAATGTTTTTATCCTTATTATTTGCCTTTACGCCTATTTAATGTTTAATTTGAATGCTTCTCAAGTATTGGTTTGTAGGCATTTCGATTGATTGGTTACAGGATTTCATCATGAGGTGATATCAGTTAGAGAACCATTGGAAAACCCCCAAGGGGAGAGTACTGGACAGCCGGCTGTTTCGTCAGTCTAGTTTGGGACTCTTCATCAGTACACATCCACACCACGGGGGTCGAACCCAGGACCTTCTGGTGGTATCGCCGGCGAGCTCGTAGACCATTCATCAGCCTCTGGGATCCGATGCAATGCCCAGTCAGCCCATGAATTCTAAATTCTGCCAATTCATGCAAGACATAACACGACCACTAGGCAATGTCTTCTTCTTCGAAGAGTTACTGTTCTCACCTTCAACCCACTGCACCCCACTGGTCACGGCTTCCCACTAGAATCCCAGGTTAACTGCCTGAATAAGGCCAGTCGCTAGTGAGCATCAGATTAATTTTAAAGTATTGGTTTTAAGTCAGTCACGATCATTCTGACCTTGGACTGTCCACAGAAAGCATTGGTGTGTGTGTGATTCTTGTTGATAGAGTCTGTGATCCCAACTTGTTGGAAATATTCTACTTGATCTTAAAGCATTTCCTACGGTTGAATTTTGATGAACTAATTTTGTTCTACAGACCTAGTTTTGTACTCCGGAAGTTACCTTATCTCTGTATAGCTGCCAAACGACACTATTGACGCCATTTTGAATTTTTAATGTTATTATTGCTGAGCAGAAACACACATACATCTAACCATGAATAATTAATAGTCTTTTCGCCATCATTGGAGTATTTGTGAGACTGCCTGCGTCTCAAGGAGGGTTTCTCCTTCAGCAATACAGTAAAACCAATAGATTGATTTCCCGAGTTTTGGTGAGAAATAAGAATCCAGAGGTGCCAGAGTAGCTAATAAAGCTTGAACTTACAAATGAAAGTTCCCAGGTTCGCCCTGCTGAGGAGTCCAAAACAGGGACAAAACAACTGTCTAGTTCTCATGATGGCTAGGCGTCTTTCAATGATTCTTTATATGGTTTTGAAATTAAAGGAAATCAATCATCCACGATATAGAGAAAGAAAAAATAGTATATTCACCACTCTGTAACACCTTGAAATCAATAAAATAACACTTCACGTTTGTTTGTTAGTTTAATTCCACTTACCTGTACGAATAATCTTGTCTGAATGCATTGCTAGAATAGCTGATGCAGATACCCACTCTTCTAGATCAGGTTCTGGATCCCATCGATGCGCTATACACTGATAAATTCCAATATCATACTCAGTGACATTCGTGATAGTTAATGTATTATCTACACATTAAAATGACAAAAAGGGCAAGAAAAAGTAGACGCCAAATAAAAGTAGATTACAGCAATCAGAATTATTAATCATGATAAATAAATTAAAAGAGATATACGCATAGATGGATCTATGGATAAATGCCAGGACCTATTAAGTCTATCTCCTGTATGAGGTAAGGCGTACACACACCGTTACAGTTAAGTAAGGAGGGGAAGTCGATCGTTCAAGTTATGAAGCTACATAAATTGACATGGCTGGGACACGGTGTCCAACACACACACACACACACACCTAGCTGCCACCACCACCACCTCACACGAGAAAAAAAACTTGACATCAATCCATGAAGTGTGCTTGACAGCTAGCTGGTTTGAGTCACCACCAGTCATTTAGGCAAGGAGGTGTAGATTTGCCTTGTTTGGATGGAGGAGGAGGGTTACGGTGATGATGATAACTCAAAATCCTTCCTCTCTAATGTTTCTGTTCAGTGTAGTTCTTATGAATGTCTTCTTTCTCTCTCTCTCTCTCGCGTGCGTGTGTGGTTTTCTCCACCTTTGTGTGCTACATAGAGTGTGCTAACTTGAACTGGTCCAATTCTCTTTGAACAGTTCCACGTCTAGACTCGGTTAATGAAGCTTATTAGTCTAAATGACCACAACTCATAGTTGAATAGCACATCAACTAGTTGATGTAAAGCCTTAGGAATGGATAATATTTGGCTGAAAATTTTGAACTTATGATCCAGTGTGACTGGAAGTTAAGTACCCTAGACCGTTGAACTAACCAACCAGAGCTCTACACTATATATATACAACAACATCAAGAAGAAGGTGACATATGCCGAGAAGCTATAAAACGGTGTTAGTAAGAAAATATGATAAGACATATGCAGGGTTAACAAACTAACAGAGACATGAACAAAACAGCCATCTTACATTTTATTTACTTAAACGCATAAAAACTTGGTACAATATGGCACCAAGAAGGATGCACCACACAGTAATAATAAAGCAACATAGATCAAAAGAAAAAAAGAATATATATATATATATATAAGTAGAGAACGGATAAAGAACTTCATCTGGAAGGAAAACAGTCATGCTTAACAAGTTGAAAAGGGTATTCGTTAACTATCGTCTGGAAGGGAAGAAAGAAGGAAATTGCAACACAACAAAGGAAGGGATAATGGGGCTGTGTGTACGAACTTCTTTTGAATGCATAGTTTAGGTTTAATGGGTTCAAATGCCTATCGCCTCAGCTATGTACAGTAGACAAATACGAAGTCTATTAGAGAGATTCTATGGGATACGATGAATTACTTTGAAGGCTTTCATTTTCTCCACTACATGACCAATATCAACGAACTAAATGTGACAAAATTGAGCTACGGATTGTTTGTTTTCTCCTGTCCTTTGCCAAACCACTACAATGGGAGATGTTCAGTAGCGACAAGTTGTGGTTGGCTAAGCTGTCTAGTAGTAGTAGTGTGGTGAGAGCAGGCTGCTAGCCGATTGGTTGACGCTAAGCTACGTTAATATGGGCCGTGAGAATATATGAACAAGGCTGAGTCAACAACCAATCACAGCAAAGTTAACGTGGCAAAATATGATTCGCAGATAGAGAACTCTATTTGTCAAGGAATCCCGAAACAACCAATCAGAAGCCTGCATTTGTCTGCCTAACTTCTGATAAACAACCAATCAGATGACTGCGCTTGTCTATAATAATGTATGTGAAATATGTATAAATACGTGTTGATTTTCATAATAAAACGATCTGTTGCCTGGCCCTTGTCTTCTGTTGTTACAGTAGTACGCCTTACACTTACAAGTTATCACAAAACCCTTCAAAAGACGTCTTAACAAAAAAAAGACGATTATTCATTGTTGGAATCTCAAGAAAGTTTCGGACAGCTATAAGAGAACACAGAGATCGATCAGTTTTTTTTTTCTGTGTGACATTTTAGACAATAATAACGAACTGAATCGGGGGTTGTGGTCTAGAATTAACTTCCTTGAATGTGAAATCAAATATATAAATTCACATGAATTCAAACTATTTAAGAAACCTCACTTATCATTATTATTATTATTAATAATAATTATTTAAGTATAATTTAATTATTTACTATTATTATTTTATTTACTTATTTAATTATTTATTTTTATAAACTCACTGACAAATATTCACAGAGCTTCAAAAGGCATTTTGTAGTATTGAAGGGAGAAGACACACACACATAGAGAGAGAGAGGGAGGGAGAGAGGCCCCCAAATATTGACAGATTCCACCGCCGAAACTGTATTCGCATTTTTTTGAAGAAATAAATTCTGTTATGAATACAATTCACTAACTAAATAAAAGACTGTCTCTGTTTTTATATATGCCACACACACACACACACACACATACTGGTGGCCTACAAGATTCATCACTTAAGTGTAGCCGCCACATTCCGACTAATTACTAATTTATTCACAATAGAAATAATTGCCAAGATTACAGAGAGAGAAGACAAGATTTTATTTGAGAGAAAAAAGCTTGTAGTACACTAGTGATTATGTAATAATGATAATATGTCAACAACGAAAAACCCATGATACATTTTGGTAGTATCTGTTGGTAAAGCAGCAACAAGCTGGCAGAAGAAGCATCGAAGATAGGTAGGACTTCAGGTGAACATAGAGAAAGTAGAGGTAGGTGATGAAGATTTCTGACCAATAGCAACAGCAGCAACAACAACAACAACAACAGACAACAATCAACCAGAATAAATGGAAGGAACCTGAAAGAAACAACCTCCTTTACCTACCCTATTTACCTACCTGTGAAATATCGTTTCAACTACAGGCGGACGGAACTGATGAGGATATCAAAGCAGCGAGGATCGGGAAAGCAAGACAAACTTTCATTACTCTCAAGTAATTCTGTGTGGAAGTCAACAGCACTTAACATGAAAAATAACATCCGGATTTTCAACTACAATGTGAAGTCAGTGCTACTTGCTATACGGATCAGAGACTTGACCCGTGCGTCATAAAGAGCATCTCAAACAAACTTCAGACCTTCATCAACAGCTGTATTCGCTCAATACTACTCAAGATCAGATGACTTGTCAGAAAAGGTCAGTAGCAGAGATCTCTGGGAGCAAACCAACCCAGCCAGGAACCGATTGTGCAACAAATAGGCCGGAAGAAATGGAGATGGATTGGCTGGCCATACTCTGAGGAAACCATCAAGTGAGTGACATCACTAGACAAGCCATTGCTCGAGTGGAACCCAACCGAAAAGGAAGCGGCGAGTTGGTCGTCAGTGTATAGGTGACTTGATGGAGGAGGTCATGTGAAGAGGAGATAAAAGCATGTGAGCAGACTTGGAGTGGGGTGAAAAAGTTGGCAGAAAACCGAAGGCAATGGAGAGGTTTGACTGAAGCCCTATGTTCCTCTAGGAATTAAATGATATAATAATAATAATAATAATCTGCTGTAAGTTATGTGAATAGAACTTGTGCACTATGGTAGAGTATAATTCCATTGTGGGGGAAAATTTATTTTGATGAAAGGCTCACACAGTGTTGGGGTATACAGTACTACTTACTGATGACCATGTTTTGAGCACAATTTATTCCTACTTATAACCATATCATGACAGTACTCACATAACTTTCTAACTTCGTTTATATAATTCTATTATTTTCCATCACTTGGTGATTGGTAATAGTATTTTATATATTTCTGGTATGAGTGGTGAGTCATTGCACCCTATTGCACGTGTTCGGTGTAAACTCGGTGAACAAGGATTATGTAACCAAAAGCTCTCTCGCTCTCCACCTACCTGGATTACTTTTAGAATTTTACTCTTCTCTCATCCTACTGTGTGGTTGTCTGTTAACGCATGAAGTACAGTTGCTGAGTACCGTTTTCTAAATTACTTATCTTCGTGGGATCAACCATTCTTACCTTAGCTAAATTCTTATGTCCCGAGAATCTGACTATCCCCGACCCTACTAGCTTGACCTACGTAGTTTGTTTAACTCACAGTCATTCTAATTTATTTTGTAAATTATATTATTTTGTCTAATTGGATCAACCTGTTGGATCCTTTAACCTATAGAGCTTATCCCACCTGAGTGAGTTTTTAGGTTTAAATGCCACTCTAATACCTGCTTTATTAGGAATTCTACGTAGGGTCTCAGATGTCCCCTCCTTATATGATATAACAGTAGATGCCTTACATTCTCTCTTATTTATGTTATCATTATTAGTTTTACAATTAATTTTATATTCTGTTTTAACACTGTGAAAGTGTCATCCACATATCTCCATAGAACACAGAACATATGTCTCTAGCTTCTTGACACATGATAAACTCACTAGTAGGGAGAATAAAATTCACATTTGAATCGGAAAATGAAAAAGGAAAATTTAGCCATGTTAGATTGTAAAATAAAACGAATAGAAGAGGGTAAACTTTACACGCTAACGTTAATAAAGGATAAAAGCATTCTAATAGGAATTTTAAGACCTCTTTAATTCATCTCATCCGTTAACTGTTAAGGCAGGCGGCTTAGTTAAGTGTTTAACAAACCGAGCAGTAGCACTATGTAGTACTAGTAGTACAAGAAAAGACCTAAATGATGAAATAAAACAGATAGAAGAGGCTTTGGCGTTAAATAACTAACTATCCTATAAAATTCATTAGAAAGATCAAAGAAGGCCAAAAGCAAAAATAAAAATAATGGTGAAACTAATAATGATAACATAAATAAGAGAGAATATAAGGCATTTACAGAATTTTTACCATATAAGTAGGGGACATCTGAAACCCTCCCTACGTAGGATTCTTAATAAAGCAGGGAATTAAGCTGGGACATTCAAACCTACAAACTCACTCAGGTAGGACAAGCTCTATAGGTTAAAGGACTCTGCAGGTTGATCCAATCAAACAAAATAGTATCATTTGCAAAATACCTTGCAATGACTCAGAGTGAGATCAGCTCTAAACAGGTCCAACTAGTAGATCGGGTAGGAATAGTCAGATTGTCAGAATATAAGAATTTAGCCAAGGTAAGAATGATTGACCCAGCGAAGATAACTGGTTTGGAAAAAAGCTCAGCATTCTCACTGCATGCATTAATAGACAATCACACAATAGGGTGAGAGAGAGGAATAAGATTCTAGAAAATACTATAGGTGGGTGAAGACAGGTTGATCACAGAATCTTTGTTCATAGAGTAATCTACACCAACAAGTGCAATAGGAATGACTTATCACTCGTACTGGAAATATGGAAAATACTACTACCAATCAAGTAAAGCGATGAAAAATAATGAAACTATATAAACGAGGTTAGAAAGTTGTGCGAGTAGTACCTTAATATGATTATGGGTGCCAATAGTTTGTGCTTGTAACCTAGTCATCAGTAAATATTACTGTATACGAACACTGTGTGTAAGGCATCTAGTAGAGTACAGTGCTCTGAAACATGGCCAATACGAGTTGTTGAAGACATGAAAAGGTTGACTGCTTTCGATCATAGATGTCTGCGATCTCTGTCTCACGTTAGGTGGTTTAACAAGGTAAGTAATGTTGACGTCAGGTGTAGAGTGTTGGGCGAGGGGGGAAAATCAATCGACGAGGTTATAAAGTTACATAGATTGAGATGGCTAGGTCAGGTGGTGCACAGGCCTAACCATCGCCTCCCCCTCCCTGACGGGCGGGGATTACTAGCTGATATAGGTGGTGCAGGTTGGAAAAGAGTAAGTGGCGGGTGGCCAAACAAAAACATGGCCTCATCAATCCATGAAATCCTTGATAGTTAAACTGAGTCAGGTAGGGAGGGAGATGCAGACTCCCGGGTTGGGGCCATCGGGACTGACTCTAGGAATCAATGGCTGGAGACAATAGGTGAAATGGTTCAAAATCGTTGTCAATGACCAGCTCAGATGTATTCAGTCTCTGTAATCTTTCATATTCCTTTCTATCATTACCCATTCTGTTCCGCTCTTATACCTGTCAGACTGTATTGATTCTCTTCACTCATCTTCTTGTCTACCTTTGTGTGTGGTATTTGGAAGGTGTCAACTCGAACTGGTGCACTTGGGTGCCAAGTTCTATGTTGAATCCAGACAGAGACAGACAGACAGACAGAGTCCAAGTCTCAATGGAAAAACCATCACTCACATTTTGGAAATGTAAAACCCTTTAGTTGAAGAGTCCACAATAAAGACGAAATACACATCGTCGATTCCACTTCTTCTAATCACCATCCACCAACCATAAGAATGTTACAAAAAAATCGACTGAATTCGTCGTCTCACAATGGCATGACTAACTTTAAAACACCCATCCTACGCCCTCTCCCTCACCCTGTCCAATAAACATTTTTACACAGTTTATTTAACATTTAAATATTTGTTACAGGATTTCATCATGAACTGACATTGGTTAGAGAACCATTGGAAACCAGCCACAGGGAGTACTGGACAGTTGTTTCGTCAGCCTAGTTTGTGACTCTTCAGCACTACGCACCCACACCACGGGGTTCGAGCCCAGGACTTCTGGTTGAAAGGTGATCTAGCTCGTCGACCATTCATCAGTCACTGTGACCCGATCCAATCGCCCATGAAGAGTCCCAAACTAGGCTGATGAAACAGCCGTCCAGTACTCTCTGTGGCTGGTTTTCCAATGGTTCTCTAACCAATGTCTGTTCATGATGAAATCCTGTAACCGATCAATCAAATTCCTACACAAACCTATACTTGAATATTTGAAATATTTATTTATTTATTCATTCATTCATAATTGAAAAATTATTTCAAACAAATTTTGAGCATTTGTCATGCAGCTTTTATTATTATCATTACCATTATTTAACAGACTGATCAACATACAAACATATATATACATGAATACATTCGAGAGGAACATGCATAAAGCATATTACGTAACAGAGACACCTTTCAAGCTGCAAGCATGAACAACGGATGATGATGATGATGATGAATAGCTGTGAAAATGAAACCTAACGGATCAGAACGATTATACTGTTTATCTTCTTCTTTCTGTCTACAGACAAATTATACAAAGCTTGAAAAACAAAAACATTTAAGCTTTTCATTAGCAGTTCGTAAACACACACACACGGAGACGAAGAAGTCAATGAATGAAGCGCGTTGTGTGTGTTTTTGTGGATGGGTGGAGGGCAGACACGGTAGTCTTTCATGCTGCATACAATATTACTACCAATATACAGCGGCATTTGTTCCAAACAACTTTAGAACAATTTACACACATACACACACACTCACATACAAATATATAGGCAGACAGATGTACAATTTCATTCATTCTCAGTAAACAAACTTACGATTCCCGTGAATTTTTGTATAAGAACCTTTTTTGAAACGAAAAACGAAAGTGTGTTTAAAAGATACATTAAAAGAATTGAAACCAAAATGTGTGTAACCAAGCTATTCCCAATTGTATCAAACTTAAAATCATCATCACAATAGAATAGGAGTAGGTTTAAACACAACATGAGAGACACCCGAACGAAGGACGATGACACAATCAAACGGATGTAATAATAGAGGGGATGACATTGAGATCGGTTGTAGGATTTCATCATGAGCTGATACCATTTAGAGAACCATTAGAAAACCAGTTAGGGAGTACTGAACAGCTGTTTAGTCCTGGTTCAAACCCTGGTGTGTGTGTGTGTGCTGATGAAAAGTCCCAAACTAGGCTGACGAAACAGCCGTCCAGGTTTTCCAATGGTTCTCTGACTGATGTCAGCTCACGATGTAATCCTGTAACCAATCAACCAAATCCCTACAAACCAACACTTGAATATCGATGAGATGCTCACTAGCGACTTTCCCTATTCAGGTAGGTAGGTAGTTACCTGGGTGGGTTCTAGTGAGAAGTTGTGACCAGTAGGGTGCAGCAGGTCGAGTGTGAGGACCAATCGAACAAAATCACTACAAAACAAATGCTTGAAAGTTGACCTTGAGGTCAACCAACCAATCAGATGAGTTAATAGTACAAAACAAAACGCGGAAATATATAATAGATGCAGTGTACATGAGAATTACGTATTGCGAA